AATAAAGTAAATAATAAAAGTACATGAAATATAAAAATTGATTTAAAAAGAAGTCAACATTAGTGAACAATTCAACATTAGTGAACGACAAGAATACTACAGACAAATATTGTATGTATGACAATCCCATGCAAAATGTCAAATCTGGACTGTGCACTATTAGAGGTCAATGCTGTCCCCACACTGCATTCTTTGTAGGACACATCTGCAAGAACATGTGTACACTCTGTCCTTTTGGAGGTCAATGCTTCCATACTCCTTGACCTTTTAGAGTTCATGTAATGCTACCACTTTTATGGAAAAGAAACACTGGCTCGTACACCGCTACTCAGAGCCTCAAATGTAAGCCACAACTGAAGTGATCCTTTTTCTAACTCACTGTTGTTAAAAGACATGCAAGTAAGTTGTGGCTTAAATTTGGATCACCCATTAAATGACACTCAGCTGTCAAGTCTGTTGAAAAAATTGAATTCTAAGCATATATAAATGTCTCACTAGTAAAATGATAATTGCTTGATACCGGTACTTAGTTGCATAGCATTTTGAAAGGTTGCTAGTGCTCTGTGAATACATACATACTAGTAACATGCTGGTAGGTAGGTAAATTGATGTCAATGCTAAATATGTGAAGATTTATATTTGTCATTGATCTCATTATGTGCATGAATTGCTATATATTAAGATACCAATAAGTACTGTAGTTTAAATCAAAGGGTTCCTTAGACAGTGCATGATTACATGCTATATAGCCTGTTACTCTTCTAAATTTCTTGACTGATCCTTGAGAGAGAAAGCTGTGTGAATATCCATTAAGTTGGATGTTGCAGGGATAATATCCATTCATTAAGTTTTGAATTCACTTGTTTATGAACGAAACAATTTTGGTCAGATTTTTATTCGCTGAATTTTATTTCAGCAAAATAAGTGAAAGTAATCTATATGGACCTATGATGGTCAGAGAAATAGTGAGAAAAAGTTGCCACAATGGATACTTATTGATCAGACTGCTGGACCTGTACTATTGATATCTATCATATGACCAACTACAGTTACATATCAATTATACCAGTGCTGTGCATTGTTCAGGCTTGTTGACACATTTGTCTGGGAGTGGTACATGTATTATTAGTAATATGTGACGAACAAAGGACATCTCTTATTTGACATTGTACATTAATCACAATTGTTCTATTTGTCTATAATTAGATCATGATGCAAAATTAGATCTGATCATAAGCTATTAATAAC